CCGCAGTCCCCCCTCCTGGGCCGCCCGCGCCCGCTCGCCTGCCGGTCGAGCTCCGCGTCGGCCTCGCTGCCATCTATTTGATACAGCGGCACGTCGTCGCCCTCAATAGGGTGCAGCGGCAGCCCCAGCTGGCGCGCCAGCACCGCCAGCGGGTTGCCGTCGACGCCGGTGATGATGCTGCCGCCCAGGTCAGCAACTGCCATGTGTGACTCCCCGCCGAAGGAGCCCTGCGCGGGGGTGGCCGCGGGGCCGCGGCCAACGGGACGCGCCGACGGGTCAGACCGAGCGCGGGAACGCAAGCGCGTGGCGAGAAGTTTCCGCTTTCGGGGTTTCTGTTGTTGTACAGTTTAGGGTTGAGATGCCTGAACCCCAATCCCATCCTGCCGCAGCCGAGGCCGCCGGATCTTGCTGGCTCGCTGGCGGACAGGACGAAACGCGGCAAGTGAGCCGACCCCCTTTGGGGCGGCGGGGCGGCGGCGGGGGCGCACCTCGAGCCTGTGGCCGTGCACCCTGCCCCCCAGGCGGTCGTGGCCCTCGAGTACCAGCACGCGGTACCCCCAGTTGCGCAGCTGCCGCGCCGCCGACATGCCTGGGGTGGGAGGTTTGGGGCAGTTTGGCGGGTGTGGGAAGCTTAGCGCGGACGAGAGAGAGACCGTGTGTGTGTGTGTGTGTGTGTGTGTGTGTGTGTGTGTATGTATGTGTGTGTGTGTATGCACGCGCGTGTGTGTGGGTGTGTGTGCGCGTGTGCGTGAGCGCACGTGCATGTCAATTGCTGGTTTGAAGTCTTCAAATGTCTGCTCAATCGATTGGAAGCAACCAGGACTTTGCAAGGCAGGCAATCAGAGGAAAGCAGGCGCGCAACGACGGCCCCAGGAGGCCGGCCCCTGACAGCAAGCTCGTGAGCGCCGGCCCGCGCGGCGGTCGCGCGCCGCACCCGCCAGCCCGGCGCCGATGACGACAACAGACTGCTTGCGATCCTTGACGCCCCTGTCCGTGATGGCCGGGGCCACGCCGAAATTGATGTAGCCACGGCTGCGTTCGCGGGGGGGGGGGGTGTCGGTGTTGGATTTGATGGAGAAGGGGTGGGGCTGGGCTACGGCAGAGGGTAAGCTGAGCGATGCCACGACCCAGGGGTTGAGGGTTTGCCAGGGTTCGAGCATGCCGCAATTTCAAACGGAGGATCGAACGTGCAGCGCAAGGGGGACGGGTGCTCACGACCACCAAGTTTGTCGCTGTTTGCGTCGGGTCAAGGGGGTCATGCCACATGCAGGCACCCAGGCATGCATGTGGCCGCGGCGGACAGGAGCCAGGACCCTGGCCGAGCAGTCTGCATGCATGCGCTCACTAGCAACCACGCACCATGCGGCGCGGAGAATGACTGCAACAAGCCTCCACCCGCTGCGACCCTCATGCACGTTGCGTGGGCGCGGGGCTCCAGCTGCCCCTTCCTCACCCCCACCTGTCCAGGAAGCCCCAGGCCGGGGCCACCAGGTGCCTGAACTTTGGGTGCACCCGGGCGGAAGCTGCCTCCTCGCTCAGGTACTTGGTGACATCATAGCGCCACCTCGCCAGGATGTGGTTGCGCACCTGGGGGGGGGCACACAATCCCAGCTTGTTGGTGGGCGCATGGGGCTCCAGGAGAGGGCACAATATCAGCTGAGTTGTGAAGCGGGGGTCGAAGGACCACCAGGCACCGTTTCATGCGGTCCAGCTAAGTGGCCGCGCCAGTGCCATCCCGAGGCTCACCCCATCCCCCGCTCAGGCCTCCATACATTGCGCCACCCCTTGCCCCGCTGCCCCGGCCTCCCGCGACCACCCACCCCTGCGTAGGTCTCCTCGTCCAGCCCCAGGTCACGCATCCCTAGCTCCACCTCCTCGTCCCCAAACCCATACGGCTGCAGCCCCACCGCCTCCGCCACCTGATCCTCCAGCTGAGACTCTGACAGCGGCACACCCTTCCTGCCGCCGCCGCCCGCCGCCGCGCCGGCCGCGGCGGCGGCGCCGCCGCCCCGCCGCTTGCCTTTCTTCGCTTGCTGCTTGGCTGCAGCGGCGCCGCTGCTGCGGGCGGGCGGCGTTTGCGGCTTGCGGCCCGCGGCGTCCCGCCCCTGCTCGGCGTCACCTCGGTCGTGCCCGCCTTCGGCATCGCCGCCGTCGCCGTCTCCGCCATCGGCCCCGGCGCCCACGCCGTCCGCGTCGCTGCTTTGCTGCCGCGACCGCCTGTGCTGCGTCGCCCCCCGTTCGTGCGCCGGCCCCTGCTCCTGCCCTAGCAAATCCTCCTGATCATGTGATTGGTCGCGCTCCCCTTGTTCGTGGCCCTGCTGCTGCTCCTGCTCCAGCCGCATGTCCGCCTCAACTAAGTGCTGTCGCCGCAGCAGCTGCTCGTCGGCCGCTCGCCGCGGCGGGTGCTGCTGGTCCTCCTCCTGCTGCTGCTGCTGCTGCTGCTGCTGCTGCTGCTGCTGCTGCTGCTGCTGCTGGTCCTGCTGGTCCTGCTGGTTTTGCTCCTGCTGCTGCTGCTCCTGCTGGTTCTGCTCCTGCTGCTGCTGCTCCTGCTGCTGTCGTTGTGTGAGCATTTGCCCATCACTGTGCTGCTGCAGCGGCAGCTGGTGCTGGTGCTGCTGCTGGTGCTGCAACTGCTGCTGCTGCGTCTGCGTCTGCTGCGTCTGCTGCGTCTGCTGCTGCTGCTGCTGCTGGTGCTGCTGTGCAGTCAGCTTTTCTTCCTCCGGTTGCTCATGCCGATGCTCTGGCGCTTGCTTCTGCTGCAGCATCTGCTCCTGCTGCTGCTCCTGCTGCTCCTGCTCCTGCTCCTGCTCCTGCTCCTGCTCCTGCTCCTGCTCCTGCTCCTGCTCCTGCTCCTGCTCCTGCTCCTGCTGCTCCTGCCCCTGATCCTGATCCTGCTGCTCCTGATTTTGCTGCTGCAGCTGCGCCCTGCTCCCATCAGGGTGGGTGCCTACGCTCAGGTCTATGACCTCAGCTTTGACCCCGTTTGGCTGCTGCGGCTGCTGCTGCTCCTGGGACTGCCGCCGCCGCTGCCGTCTCATTTGTGCCCGATGCTGGCGCGCCTGTGGGTCTTGCTGCTGCTGCTGCTGTTGCTCTGGCCCCTGCTGATCCCCGCCATCTTGCGTGCTTGTCTCCATGCTCAGGTCTATGACCTCAGCTTCGCCATGTTCCTGTTCCTGCTGCTGCTGCTGCTGCTGCTGCTTTCGCCGCTTTGGTCTCCGCTCCTGCTCTTGCGCCTGCTCCTGGCTGTGCTGCATTTGCTCGCGGCCCTGGGAAGGGGCCCGGGGTGATGGTCCCTGCCCATTGACGTGCTCTTTCAGCTGCGGCACAAGTTCGGCGTCATAGCGGCTAGGCAGCGACGCCTCCCAACCATCATCCCTTGTGCGGCAGCCGCCTGGCAGGCCTGCCGACCGCCGCTTGGATGAGGCCAGGCCGCTATGGGGAAGCGCCGCACTGCTGGGCGCGCTCTCACTCGGCGCCGCACTCGGCGTGTTCGAGGCGACTTCCCTACTTGGCGCCTGGCCGCAGCGGGGCGGCGTTTTCGACACACTCTTCATGCTCCAGGACGAGGCATGAGGGCCTGTCAGAGCTATGCGTGGCGCGCCAAAAAAACAAGATCAGGGTGCTTCGTGTGCCTGCTTTGATTATGTATATGATTGATTACAGCAGTTTCGAGTAATAATTGAGAGCCATTGCTGAGATACCAGCCCACTTCTGCCCTGCAATCACACCGGCACTTGTGAGTGACGGGGCTTTTGGACCGACGACCTGGCCTGAAGAGTACCCACATTGGCGCTTATCTACACAGAGCACATAGATCTATACCTTTCTGCATCGAAAGCCATCCCCAAGTACCTGATCTAGACGCCACGGCCCTTCCCGCAGCAGCGAGGCCATGAGCGCGGAGGCGGGCCCCTCTCGTGAGGGGGGCGTGGATATAATTCGCAAGGTCAGGGTGCGCAAGCTCAGGGGCCAGCCCTCGCCGGCCCAGCAGTCGCCAGACGTGCAGGATGCAATGGACCGTAGGATAGCCGAAATCATTCCCGGCCTCGCGGAGCTCTCTGTATCGGGCTCTGACCGCGACGGCACGCTCAGTGCCGCTCGCGCTGTGCGCCAGCAGCGGCTGCAGCGCGAGCTGCGGCTTGCTGACGAGCTGCGCGAGCTGCGGGACATCTACGACTTCAGCGTCCCCAACCCAGTGGACGACCAGGCGCCCAGCGGTCCCTGGAAGCAGCAGCTGCGCGCCAAGCCGCGTAAGATCGTGCTGAGCCCCTACCAGTATGAGATGATCAATTACCAGCGCATGCTGTTGCGCAAGAACATCTGGTACTACAGGTGGGCGTTCAAAAAGGGGTTGGCTGTATTGATGAGGAATAAATGGCATATGGGGCCAGTGTATGCTGACAACCTTTTGTTTACGGAAAGGCCGGTCGCGGCAGAATGTGTGTTATGGTGATGGGTGAATTGCAGCATTGTGCGGCCCTTCGATGAGCGAGCCTGCTGCGGCACAGCCGTCAGCAGTCGATGCTGCGCGACAGCCGTCAGCAGTCGAGCCAATTACCCGCTGCGCTGAAAGCACGATCCACAAAATTGCTTGGAGTGCTCTGCGGCGGCTGGCCAAGCCCGGCAAGGCCTGGGATGCACGACGTGCCACCTCACTCCTCCGCGTGTTGCGACGCGCAGGGACCGCATGTCCGTGCCGCGCGGCCCCTGCCCGCTGCACGTGCTGAAGGACGCGTGGGTGCAGGGCGTGGTGGACGAGAACACGCTGGTGTGGGGCCACGGGCTGTACGACTGGCTGCCCGCGAAGAACGTCAAGCTGCTGCTGCCCATGATCCGCACGCCCGAAGGTGGGTCGGCCCCGCCAGCCGCCGCCCGCGCGGCCCGCTTGCTCGCTCGCTCGCTGGGTTGGGAATGACGCGGGCAGCGGCCGTGCAGAGGGCCTCGGAATCCTGCAGACTTGACAAGAGAAATCCGGGCAGCCTGCGCGCGGCATGGCTATGGCTGCAGGCGCAGCCAGGGCCCAATCGGCCCAGCCCGTCTAGGGCGCCCCGCCCGCCTGACATGCGCTCCCCCGCCCCGCCCTCGCATCACCTCGCAGTGCGGTTCGGCGCGTGGTTCAAGCGCACGTTCAGCCTGAAGCCTGCCCTGGAGCGGATCCGCGACCGCCGCAAGGACGCGCGCAACCCAGAGCTGCTGTCGCCGCAGGTCGAGCGCATGCGGTAGCTGGGCGGCGGCTGCCACAGGGCTGCTGTGGCGCTGCCATCGTAGGCGCTGCTACGCCTGTGGCTGCCCCCGCTGCGTGTGTTTGCTCGTTGCGGACCAGCCTGAGGTTGTGGCTGCGCCTGGGCCGCCACGGCGACGCTGGGCAGCACTGCATGCTGCACAGGGCACCCCCTTGGGACCCTCAAGGCGTGCCGAGCCGCCAGCAGCTGTGGCGCCTGTTCATCCTTGCCAGAAGGTGCGCAGCTTGGTGCGCAAGCGCCGCTGCGTTTTTGTTCCTGGTCTTCCTCCCTCCTCTCTTTCTCTCCTATGCTTTGCTTTGCCCAGCCAGCCGATGACTTCTCTCATCACGAAATCGCGTGAATGGATGTAACACTTTCCTATGTGTGTCATGAGGAGGGTGCCAGCATTAACGGAGCAGGGCGCTGCCGAGGAGAGGCCAGCGACACTCATGCGACGGCAGGGTTTCTTCGGTTCTTGTTGAAGTTTGACGGGCGACCGACTCATTGTGAGAGGCGCAAGCGGTATTGCAATCGGAGCAGTGCCGAACCTCATGGGCCCATCGCAAAAGTTTTAGACTCGGGCAACCTGGCATAGATCAATGCAAAGCGTCGGCGCTGTGCGACGGCCTCGGCTGCCTGCCGTGCCTCTGCGCCTTCGGAAGTGGGAACAAGTACGGGCGCCTGTGTCGGGCTGACGGCGGGCTGGACCCTCAATATCAAATGCACCAAGCAAACAAACAGCCAGGGCTGTGCACATCGCTGAATACACCCTGGATGTCACTCTGCTCGCCCTGCCTCATCAGCGGCCGTGCACCCGCTCGCTTTTCTGCTGCTGCCTGGCGGCTGTGTCGCCTGAGAGGCTGCTGGCCTGAAGATAGAATATTGACAGTACTTCCAGCCTTCAAACCTGCGGTCTGCCAGCAACATTCTCGACCAATTGCCACACGCGCAGTGTCAACTCCTGTTTTGTCATGACGTTGTTGATTCCATGCTTTCCCTTTGGCATCCCCCCGAGTGGGACAACGTGTCCCCCCATTAACCTTGTTTCTCGCACGATTGAAAGGTGCCCGATGCGTGCTATACAGCGGTGTCATACTAAGCCTCACACCCATCGTCCTAGATCAGTGTAAGGAGGAGGTTTGGCGGACCCCATTCCATGTCAGAAGTGAAACATATCCAGGTGCGGCCTCAGGCATGCATGTCACCGTTGTCTGCCGTCCGACTTTGCCATTTGTGGCGCCCTGAATGCAGCAGCGCGGTCGCCGCCATGCCTGGAGTCTTGAATAACGCGTGATTATACATTTTGAGGGGCCTTTGTGCAAGTCCGAGCGCGTGCCTCACCGCACATGCACCTCGCGCCTTGCATGCCCTCCCCTCATCAGCCCCGCGTCCCAGTGGCCGCCCGCACAACTATAGCCTGGCTGACTATAAGCTCATGTGGTCCTAGCTGAAGCGCTGGCCATGGCGACGAGCGGCTTCGTCGCAGACCCCGCCGCTGTGGCGCTGTTCACGGCTGGGAGCGGCGATCCCTTGTCTGGGGCTGTGTCTTGGGTCTATCAGGTGAGCTCAAGGCGCTCGTCCGCATGCACAAGCTATCATTGTGCAAGGGGTCGTGGCTTGCGAGTGAACTCTGGAGGGGGTTGACGCAATCAACGTGCTGCTGCCTCGCCGCAGGATCACAATGGCGGCATGCAGGGCCCATTCCTGCCTCTGCAAATGCTGCAGTGGCATGCAGGGGGCCGCCTGCCCGACGCGCTCCGGATCTGTGGGTTGTCCCCAGGCATGGCACCCCACCAGGCGCCCGCCCCTGCTTTTCAGCCACTCGGGCAGCTGCTGGCGCTTGTGCGCGCCGGCCACTCCTACCAGCCTCTTGCTCTCTTCGCCACGTCGACGCCGCCCGCCATACCGGTGCAGCTGCCGCACCCGACCGTAGCTGTGGCCGCACCGGGCGCGCTGCTTGCTGCTGCGCCGCCGCAACATGGGGCTGGAACGCAGCCCTACCTGGCAGTGCCCCAGCAAATGCTGGCAGGCCCAACGCGCGGGGCTGTTGTGCCAAATCTGGCAGTGCAGCAGCAGCAGAAGCAGCAGCAGCAACTGCAGCAGTTGCAGCAGCTTCAACAAGTGCAGCTGCAGCAGCAGCAGCAGCAACAGCAGCAGCAGCCGCAATCGGTCTTCCTCATGCAGTCGGCGCCGCGGCAGGGCATGTTGGCATCCCTTGGCCCGGTAGTTCCCGGAGCCCTCGCAACGCAACAGGCACAATACAGGCCACAGCTGATCATCGCTCAGCACCCCCGTGTGCAGCCTTCGGCCGCACTTGGCAACGTGGGCCTTGCTCGTCCCGCTGGCGGCACCCCTTTCCAGCCCGTAGCAGCGACCGCGCACACGCAGCACAGTGACATGCAGCACGCAATGCTGCTTCAGCAGCAGCAGGTAGCCCTAATCCAAGAACATCACTTGCAGCTTCTGCAGCAGCAGCAGCAGCAGCAGCAGCCGCAGCAAGTGACGCCCATGGTCAGCCCCGCCGTCGGCCAGTCGCCGACCGTCTTTGCCCGCCCTGAGTTGCGGATGCAGCTGCCTCAGGGCACCGTCGCACCTTTGCCTCTGGCCCATGCCACGACATCCATGCGTGCGCCAATTGAGGCCCAGCTAGCAGCTGCGGCTGCGCTCGCTCGGGCCGGCGGTGCTGCGGCGACGGCGCCGCTGCCTGAGACGCCCGGCGCCGGCGCGACAGCGTCGCTGCTGGTGACGCCCGGCGCCGGGGCGACGCCGCCGCTGCCTGTGACGCCCGGCGCCGTGGTGACGGCGCCCCCGCAGCCGGCGCCGGGCGGGCCGCTGCAGGAGGATGCGGACGCAGCCATAGACAGCTTGCTTTTTGATCTTGTAGAAGACATTGCAGCTGATGCAGGTGAGCCGTCGCATGCAGCAGCGGAACCCAAACCTGCCTCCACGGCCGCCGGAGCACCGGAGTCCCAATTTGCACCCGCGGCGCCCGCCAAAGCCGCCGCCAGCGGCGCGAGCGTGGGGAGCTTGGGCTTGGAAGTCCTGGGCGGCGCTCACTTGCGGCCCCTGAAAATTGCCCGTCTGTCTTCTTCTGATGGCGGCGCCGCCGATGCGGCGCCGGCGCCAGTGACAACAGCAGCAGCGGCGGCGGCAGGAGCAGCCCCTCAGGCGACGCCGGGCAGCAACCAACTGCCAGGGACATTGCGCGCCGCTGCAAACGCCATGCTGCAGAGCAGCGGTGGCGGCAGCAGTGGTGGCGGGGTGAGCAAGGGGTCCGACTTTGGCGCAGGCCTCATGGGCGGCGCGCTGGCTGGCTTGACGGGCGCTTCTGATTACCATGTCCTCGCCACAGCACCGGGCAAGCAGCTGCTGCACCCGCTGCAGCTGCAGCAGCCGTTGTTGCTGAAACAGCAGCAGGAGCAGGTGCTGCTGCAGCACCAGCTTGCGCAGCAGCACACAAAGGCGGAGTGGAATCAGCTGACTGTGCAGCAGCAGCAGCAGCAGCAGCAGCAGCAGCAGCAGCAGCAGCAGCAGCAGCAGCTGCTGCTGGCACAGCAGCCGCTTGCGCAGCAGCCGTCCCAGCTAACGCTAGCGCAGCAGACAGAGGTGCAGCAGCACGGCCGGCTGCACATGCTGCACGCGCAGGTGGCGCAGGAGCGCCAACGGCAGCAGGCCGCAGCAGAGCATCGCAGACTGATGCTCCAGCAGGCGCAGCAGCCCGGAACGAGCGGGGGAGTGCAGCAGCCGGCGCCACTGCCTGCAGCGCCGCTGTCTGCAGCACAGCTGCAGCTTCAGGTGCCCTCAGCATCAACGCCCGCGCACAGCCTGCAGCCGCAGCAGGGCTCACACCCAGACATCCTGCAGCAGCAGTTGGGACCGCTCGCGCCCCTGCTGATGGGCGACCCGCAATCTCTGTTTGCTCAGCTGCAAGTGCTGTCCTTGAGCGGCCCAGGCGGTTGGGAAGCATCAGACATCGGCGCGGGCGCGGCTGCCCAGGCGTCGGTCGGCGCCGACGCTGCCCTTGACTTGCTTAGCGGGCCGCTGCGCCAACAGCAGCACGCCGCGGTCCCGGCATCGACGCAGCCCGCCGCTTTCGGTGCGCCGCAGGCGCCGTGGCTTCGGCAGGCGAGCGCGGCTGTCGCAACGCAGCAGCTGGCGCCGCTGCCGCTGCTGCCTCCGCAGCAACAGTTGGCGGCCAGGCAGGCGCCACAGGCGTTGATGACGGCCGGCCAGCAGCCGCTGGCAACTGCGCTGCTGCAGCAGCTGCAGCATACTTCGCCTCAACAGCAGCATTTGCAGCAGCAGCAGCAGCAGCAGCCGCTTGACGCCACCGCCACGACATCCGCAGCGCTCACGGAGGCGCACCTGGTCGACCTCATCGCGCGCGCTCTCGGCCAGCTGCCGGGCCCGAGCGCCCCGCGCGCCCCAACGCATGAGGGCGGCGGAGCCCCCAGCGCGCCCACGGGGGCGCCCGCGGGCGTGCCGGGGGGTGCGGGCGCTGCGGCCGAGGACCGGGCGTCTGAGCGGCTGCGGCAGCTGTTGGGCCTTGGGCTGCCGGATGATGACACGGAGATGCTGTCGCAGCTGCCCTCCTGGCTTTTGGCGGATGACGCGGCAGCCCCGGCCAGCGAGCGGGCCGCGGGCGCCGCCGCCGCCGCCGCCGCCCCCGCCGCCGCAGCGGGCCCCCGGGTGCTGGCGGCGCCGCAGGGGCAGGGCGCGCCGGAGGGCGTGGACCACGGGGCGCCCGGCGGCCAGGCGCTGGCGGCGGGCGCGCCGCGCCGCGCGGGCGCACGGGATTTACCAGAGGACTTGCTGCCAGAGGATTTTGCGGGCGCCCCTCGCAAGGCAGCGGGGAGCCCCGACTGGCGGGCCCCTGCCGACCCCTGGGAAAACAACCAGCCCCCGGTCAGGGGCGACGGCCAGCAGGGCGAGCGCGGCGCCGGCGGGTCCGGCCGGCAGCAGCCGCCGCCGCCGCCGCCCCCGCGGGTGCTGCTGCAGCAGCAGCAGGCTGCAGCACCAGCAGGGGAGGGCGGCCGTTGGCGCCGCAGCTCTGGCGGCTCCGGATCCATGTCGCCGGCTGGCCCGCACCCACGGGGCGCGCCAGGCATGCAACATCCACCCCCGCCCCCGCCCCCGCTGCCGCGCATGATGGTGCGCGGCAGCGGCGCTTCATGGCAGCAGCAGCAGCAGCCGCCAGAGCAAGAGCAATGGGGTGATGCAGAGGGTTGGGGTCGCGAGCACAGGCAGGGTTGGGACCGTCAACAGCCACCCTCACTGCAAGACGATTGCAACCGCTACCGGCCGCCCCCGCCCCCGCCGCCGCCGCCCCGGGGCTTTGAGTGGGGCGACGCCCGCGGCGACAGGGGCGCTTCGCAGCCGGCCGCGGGAGAGCCCGGGGGCGCCTTGCGTGGACGCGACGGCGGCGCGCTGACGTGGCAGCAGCAGCAGATGATAGCGGAGGAGGCGGAGCAGGAGGAGGAGGAGGAGCTGGAGCAGTACCATTCATATGAGTACGAGGGCGCGCGACGCGACCACGCCGGCGACCCATACGACAACGTTGCGCAGGGCCACTGGGGCTCGCAGCCGGCGCACCCGCCGGGGCGGCAGGGCGGCGGCGGCGGCTTGGGGCCCAAGGATTTCGGGCAGCCGGCGCGGCGCTCGGGCTCTGGGCACGGCGGCGGCTGGTGGGGAGGGGCGGATGACTCGTGCACAGGGGAGGTGCACGCGAGGGGGCCGTCTGACTGGCGGCAGCATGAATACACGGGCTACAGCCCCTCAGAGCAGCACCAGCACCAGCACCACCAGCCGCCGCCGCCGCCGCCTCCGGCCCACCAGCACGGCGGCGACGGCCACCCGCCGGCCCCGCCGCCGCCGCGGCACGCGGCGGGCGCTTGGCAGCAGCGTGGCGACGAGCACAGCTGGCCGACGCGGTCAGGCGGCCCTGAATCCTGGGACGACGGCGCGCGCCCCGCCGATACGCGCCACCATCCGCATCACCACCCCTCCCAGCAACAGCTGCAGCACCAGCGGCCAACTTACGGCGAGCCTTGGGCCGCCGGCAGGCCTGGCCAGCGGTACACGTCCGAGGAGGTGGTTGGCGATGACTACGGCGATTACTACGGCGAGCACTACGAGCGGCACCTGCACCCTGCTGATTATTACGACGAGGATCCTCGTCAGCACAACCAGCACAACTACCGCCCATACGACTCCAACCTGCGACAGCAGCACCGCCCGCGCGAGTACGACCCCCACTCCTCCCACTCGTATGCGCGCGGCCCCGCCGAGCAGCAGCAGGAGCCGCGGCAGCAGCACTGGCAGGCGGCGGACATGTACGGCGGCCGTGGGTATCAGCAGCAGGAGGATGATTGGCAGCAACAGCAGGAGCAACGCTGGCAGCCGCAGCAGTGGCGGCAGCAGCAGCAGCAGCAGCAGCAGCAGCAACGCGGCCATGCGCACGAGCACTCAGGCGGCGGGCGGCCCCAGCTACATCGCAGCGCTGAAACCGACGCCGCGTTCGCCGCCGCGCGCGCCGCGATCGCCGGCCTGCGCCCATCAGTGCGCCCGGACGACGCCCCTGGGCGCCCCAGCCTGCGAGGCGGCCGGGATACGGCGGATTGGGAGCCGTCTGGCGGCGGCTCTGCGGCCGATTGGGACTGCGAAATCGAGAATGACAGCGAATCGGAGGGCAGCCGCAACAACAGCGGTCCCCCTAGCGACGACACCAGCCCCGACAGCCTCCGCCGCGCCGCCGCTGCCGCCGCGCTCGCGGCCGTCGCCCGCCCGCTACCCGCGCCTCGGACGCGGCGCGCGGGCTCCGGCGGCGCGTCCGGCTACGGGCTGCTGCTGCAGGCGCAGGGGCTGTCGAGGGCCGGTTCTGAGGGCTCTGGCAGCTGCGGCGCCGGCGAGCCGCCGGGCCCGCCGCCGATGCCGCGGCGGTTGCGGCCGAGCACGCTTTTCACTTCCGTCATAGGGCAACTCAAACGGCAAGCGACCACCGGCGAGGGTGCGCGGGGGCAGGCTGAGCAGGCACTGAGTTCGTGGTCCGTGCGGGGCCAACCGCGGCGGGCTGTTGGGGTGCGGGGGCGGTGCTTGCTGGCCGGTGTGCCTGGAAAGGACGGGCAGCGTTGCCCCTGCATGGCTTGAACTCCGTTACGGCGACCGTGCCGTGCCCCCCGCGTCTGGTCCGCCCGCGGTCACGCAACATGCTCCGCCGGCCCTGGCAGCGGCGGCAAGCCCCTCGTCGCCCACCTCCCTACGCGCATCTCCCCTCCCGCAGACGACCATGACGCCGCGCCAAGCGCCTCGCCGGACGTCGCCGCCGCCGCCGCCGCCGCGGCCTTCGAGAAGATCACCGCAGGCGCGGGCCGCCGGCCGGAGAGCCCCGCGCCCGCGGACCACGAGGCGCACGGCCGCGACGCGCCGGGCGTCGCGCGGCGCGCAGGCGCGGTGAGCCGGCAGACGGACGGACCCTTTGCCCTCGCGCCCTTTTGCGCACCCTGGCGATCTCCCACCCCCCCTCACTTGGCACGCTGCCCCAAGGCAGCTACAGGCAGTGCGGTGGGCCCCGCCACTTGAGCTACTTTCTGTGCCGCCCACCTCCGCTCGACAGCTCCCGCCTCTGTTCCCCCTGCCTGGCCGCAGCCACTGGACGGGCCCGCGGCCGACGCCGCCTGGAGCTGCGACCCGTGAAGGCGCCCGGTCTTGACGCCCCACTGACGACAGCCACACCACCTGGTGGGTGCCGAGTGATGGACCCGTTGCACCGCTTTCAGCCTTGCTGGACGGGCAGGTCGCGGGATGAGCACATCTGAAGCCATTTTGCAGCCTTCGCAGGCCGCCGCCTTTGCGCGCCGCGGCCTGGGTTTAAGCAGGGAGTGACAGGGCTGTCACCAGCCTTGTCTTCGACAGCAGCCCAGCCTTCCAACAACCACGGGCTGACTTTGTCACAAGCCGTGCACCGGGGCGGGCTCGATTCTGGGGCCCTCGTGCCCAGGTGCACAGCACGCACGCGCGCAAATGCACATCTCTCCACACGTGCTGTCCGCCGGCACTCAAACACTGCGGCGCACCCCGCCACGGCCTGCGTCCCCTCAGGCGGCGCCGCCCAGTTGTAGACAGGGCGCGCTCGCGGCGCCGGCGCCGACGACCCCGACGACGGCGGCGACGACCATGTTAGCAGCGAAACACGCATCCAAGGCCATGACGGAGATTAGGGGGCTGCCTTGGCGGCTGGCCCCTCTCAGCCGGTTGCCCCAGCCGCCGACCTAGCGTTGGCCCTCCACCCACCGCGCCTTGGCCCCGCGCGCGCCGCGGCATGGCATGGCTTCAGCAATAAAGAGCGATCAGGGGCGCTGCGAGCAAAACAACCCTGGCGGCCCGCCTCGGCGCCGTTCCAGGCACTCGCAATCATCCGTCCTCCCAATCTGGGGCATTGCGCATGCCCCAGCTGCGGCGGGGACGGCCGGCCGCAGCGCCGGCAGGGGTGCGGCGCCCCTGCTGGGATGACGGGCCGGGGGCGCGCGCCCCTGCGAAGGAGTGTGCACTGTCTGCATTAATGCCCCGCGCTGCGCATCGATGGGCGCGCACCAAGCCACGACTTGTGACTGTAGAGGGGCGGGGGCGGCGGCCTGCAAGGTGAGGGCCTCCAATTCAACATAATACGCACGAGTCAACCCAATGGGGCGTTGGGGCCGTAGTCGGCAAGCAGTGGCCCCTGCTTGCCATGGCATCTTGATACTGAAACGACCGCCGCATCAGACCCAACTGCTGAGCTCCCCAGGACTTGTGTTTGCCTGCACGCTAGCACTCCCTTTGCTTGCGGTGCGCGCGCCGCGCGCTTGCTGTGGGCGAGGGGGCGGTCGCGGCTGTGGCCTGACCGCTGGCCTTCGCCTGCCTTTGCGCGCGGCGGGCTGCCCACTGACGCTGCTCAACACTCTGGTATCATACCTCAAACCTTTAAAGGATGCAGTCCGCGTTGTGGGGGGTCCTGTCATGCCTGATGTCACGAGAGGGTTCTGCAGAGTTACCAAGGGGTCGCGTCTCTTGGCCCTTACAACCTGGCTTGCACTGTCGGTCGCCCGTGTGCGTGCGTACGCAAGCCTGTGGTGGCCTAAGCCCCGTGAAATGCCGTGTGTGAGATTATCCCATTACCTTGTGCCTCGCACCCCTTGCTCAAGCAAATGCCTTTGGTTTCGTTGGGTCGTGGCAACTGGCTCTGCGGGATTTGAACAGCAGGCCCGCAGCAGCCCACTCTGCACACATGTAGCCGCACAGCTCACGCCCAGAGCGACGCCTGCATCGCGAATGGAGACACCCTGCCTGTCGTAAATGGCGCATGCATGCACCTGAAATGCCGCCGCCTCGTGCGCCGCTTTGTTGCTACTGCAAGCAGGTAGCAACGGCGCACGTGTCATGGCTGAGCAGCCCGCTTGCCCTGCAGCAAACGCCCACGCACGCGGCGGTCTTTTTGAGCTGAAACTGTCGCATTTGTTGTGCGTGCCGTTGAGCGCATGCAGGCTGTGATTGGTCTGGGGCTGCCTTGTAAGTCTTTTTGAGGCTGCTGCGGGCCATTGCTTCGTTTGCTGCTTTTCGAGCTACCCCTGTAATCCCATCAACCTATTGTTTGATGTGTCCGGTGCAGGCAAGTTCTTGCGACCGTGGCCCTGCGCAACGGATGCCGCCGGCCATTCCAGCGCCATACGTGCCGTGCGGGATCGTCTTCCTTCGGAGGTGAGCTTGCATGGGAATGTGCGTGCGGGGGCGGGGACGGCAGGTATGACAGGGGTCTACGCCTGACTCAGGTGTCACAGCCTCGGACCGTGTGAACGGTCGGTCGGTTGAATGCTGGGCAGCATCGCATGCCCCTGCGCCCTTGCAAACAACGACCTCTAATGTGAGGCTGCGGTGCACATTGTCAAACGATACTTTTCTCGTGAAGTTTCTCGCGCTTGGACGCCGTTCTCAACGAACATCCTCGCTCAGATCCGCAGCGGCCTAGGCAGCATCGCGTTTATCATGTTGCACGCGATTTCTCAAGGCCCCGGGCACCTGGAGGCCTACGTCAATAGTCGCAAGCTGTCGGCCAGCCCACGCGTGCATGCCCTGCGAAGCGCAGTGAGCGCGGTGACCCAGCGCCAGTTTCCTGGCGGCCACGCCCAGGTGAGCGCGCCTCGCTTACACGCTGATGCTGAGTGGATATACTAGTGACACAAGACAAGGGAGTCTGCAGGACAACACGTCCGTGTCGGGGCCCTGCATCAGCTCCCCAAGGTCTCTCCAGGAACCAAGTGTGAAAGTGCATGCACAGCCCTCTGCCTGGGCGGGAAGGCTTGGCCTTATCAGCAGCATCCACATGCCCGGCGCCGCCGTGCACGCACCTGCAGGTGCAGCTGCAGGGCAGCACCTACATGGCCGTGGCCCTGGAGGGGCTCAGCGACGCTGATTTCTTTGTCCGCATGGACGACACGATCCCCGCCGTCACGCGGGCGCAGCGCGTCAAGTTCGTGTCTGATCTGCAGTCGACGCTGCCTCGCTACGGCCTGGTGTACCCTCAGCCCCTTGAGCTTCGCGAGAGCCGCATCCGCAGCGCCGCCGGCATGTATATGGGGGCGCCCGCGCCGCCGTTTGACGTCCTGTTCGAACGGTTCGCGTCCCAGAAGCCCCGCCGGCAGCCTGCGCGCCGGCCGCTCGCCGGCGAGGTGCAGCTGGTGGTGTGCGCGCTGCGGCTGATGCCGCTGCACTTCACCAACCTGGTGCAGCCGCAGTCTAGCGCGCTGATCGACTGGGTCGAGGGCGAGTGGCGTCGGCTGCCAGCAGGTGCGCGTGCATGCTTGTGTGTCTGGAGGCTGTTAAGTAGGACTCCCACAGCGGCTTGTGCGTCCCTGAGTCAGAAAAACGAGGCAGTGAGAATGATGGTGCGGCTCACCCACTGCAAAAGCCAGATTTGTGCCCGATTAGATGATCTTATGTTATGCCCAATGAGCCAGGGTCCATCTGCCTTATGTCCTATCCCCCTGGAACTTCCGCCGCAGCGCGCTCCTCCGAGCACAGGAAGGCGTTTGGGCAGCTGCTCAAGTGGGCCCTGGACCTTCTGGCTGGTGCTGCGGGGAAGTTGCCGCCAAAAACGTTTGTGGTCGCGTTGCAGCGCAAGAACAAGCACTTTGGTGATCAGCAACTGGCGGCGGCAGCTCGGGACTGGGGCCATGCGGCCAGGTGTGTGCTGGCAGAGATGCGGAGCTGCGGCCGCTGGCCCGGTTTCTGATGGTGCAATGATGGCGGGATGCATCAGGTTGAGCTCTCAAGCAAGGCAAAATCTCTGATCGTGCTGGAACGATGCACGCGCACAGGCAATTATGGCATGTTGGGCCGCACAAATTCGGTCTGGTGTTAACGCCTTGTACAGCGCGTCAACCGGGCGGCCGGGCTGGTGCAGGTGCGCGCATTCCTCGATCTCCTGCGACCGCACTGCCCCGCATGCAAGGAAAGCGTGCATACGTAATGCGAGGGGCCGGCGCACCCTGTTTCCTGGGTGCATGACACCAATGTAGGTGAATTGCAGCAGATCACAGCAAAAGCCGGCTTCCAGCCCTAGCACGAGCGGGGGAAGACCAACAATTGTCACAGCTGAATCCAGTAGCACGGTATCTGTACACGCGGCAAACTTTTAGGGTGCAGTGGTGTGTGCCTGCATGACCACCATGCAGGCCACTCCCAGCCCGCGTGATGTTGACCAATTTGACTGCTGTTACTGCAAACGTCGCTGGCATCCAATTGGCGACCTGCATTATAGATCAATGACATAAAATATCTTTCATTTGATTTATCTACGGTATCCCTTGCTTCGCATCGATTTCCATACATACAAAGCTCGATCAGGACCCGTCTCAGGTCGCAACCAACGATACCGGGCTTCTTTGTGCAGTCACACCTCAAAAATTTCTAATTACGTCTCGTACCGTTCACCATTGTGATCCACCTGGCAGCGAACAAGAGAAGACACGCCCTCGCACTCATGTTCTGGCCTTAAGGTGCTTGTAACACTTCTACGAGCAGTCAAAGACACCAAGTGTGATATTATTGCTCGTCGTAGCAGCACAGCTGGGCGCGTGGCAACTGTGCATATCCTCGCTGGCAGCACACGCCTCAGCTGTGTGTGTGTGCACATGCAGCACCCCCGAGTCGATGCATGCGGTCGCAACACAGCTAACCTCCCTGCCTCAACCTTGATGTTGTCAAACAGGCAAGTCGCCAGCCGGGAGCGGCGGGCTGCGCGGCGCCCGCT